CTTTACCTATTATTGTGCATGCTACATTGTTATATTAAGTTCATTTAATGGTGCATGTAAATTAATTGTATATGTTAAAATAGTAAATTTATTCATTTAATTGTACATGTATTATTATTAATAATTTTATTTGTTGATTATGTTTAATTAAGCATTATTAGTTAATTAAAGTATTATATTTATGTTATAAAGTATTATGATGATATAATGTATTCTTATGTAATAATAATAATAATAATTATAATAGTTTATTAATAATAATAATAATATAATAATATTAATTATAATAGTTTATTAATAATAATAATAATAATATTTATAATAAATAATAATAGTATTAAATCAATGTAATGATGAAGAAATTAAATCTTAGGATAGGATTTACCTTAGGACATCTTGTTTGACTTGGCTTGCTAGCCTTAAAGCCTTATGGTTGGGAATGTGGTTAATTAAATGCAAAAATAGATATTTGTAATATTTAAATTATATAAGTTATGTATATATAGAAGTTAGCCCTTTAGTTGAGGATTCACATAAGTTGAAGAAGGAAATAATAAAAGTGAGTTCTTGTATAAGACCGAAAGGAAAAGAGAGAAAGAAATGAGCCTGGACCGGTGTAGGGAATTTACCCGATTACGCGCAACCGGCGGATTTATTTTAAATCCAAAAAGGCAAGTTATTATCTACTTTTCCCCTTTGAATTAATAAATTAATTGTTTAGTTTATTTGTATGCATAGAGCCAAGGTTAGTAGATTAATAAATTATAAATTTTATCTTATTAAATTAATGAAATTTTAATTATATAGGATGGTATATATTTATTTAATATCCTATGAAATTAATAATGGCCGAAAATAATTAAATAAAGCTTTAGGGATTTTTCTAGAATTTTCTAGATTTTTTCGGGGTTTTTCTGCAATTTCCGGCGACCTTCCGGCGAGTTTTCCGGTCGCCGGCAATGGGGGAGATGACCGGAGTGATCCGGTGTGATGCGGCGCACTATAGGAGGGTATGCGCGCGCATCTGGACCATTAAACAGCAGCGATTGATCCGGTGCACCGCGGTCCATGTTACCGCGGTACACCCGGATCCGTGAGCGTTGGATGGAGGGAAGGTAGGTGGATTGATCCGGTGTGGCGCGCAGGTAGGTAAGGTGATGCAGCCAACCAACCGGAGGACGCCACGTCTGTAGGAGCCTTCAACGCGCGCGTGGAACTCTCCAGACACGCGTGGAAGCGCGTGCAAGCGCGTGAGAGAGTGGAAAACATTGGGCTGCGCGTGGGGAAGCTTAGGGCGGCGCGTGGGGGCGCGTGAGGGGCCCTGTCAGCTGCTGGAAATTACCAGATAACCCCTAGGGCCTGTTTTGTAAATTCTAGAGCCTTAAACTTGGATTTTTAGGTACGGGGTTGGTATTTACGGGTTTAACGGGCCACGAAATTATTATTTCAATACCCGCTAAGTATTATTAGGGCCGATTAATATTTCTAAACCTTAATTGGCCGTTTACCGTACGTATATGAATGTGACTCATTTGACCACATTACTATAGATGGTATTATTATGTTATTAAATGGTATTCATTATTACTGTTCAAATATAATAATGTCACGGTTATCGTCATATAAATTATCCATTATATTATGGGATATTTATACTGTTAATCATATATCAACCATGATTATTATGCTGTGTGCATTTCAGGGAATAAATGGACTGTTTATTATGTCGCATTTATATTATATGGATGTGTTGCCATATAGAACCATGTGAGCTGGCTAATAAGTTTAGACTCATTTATACCTTATGCATTCGTTGCTATAGACAGATGTGTGGCTGTCGGGGTATGTGGTTTAATATTATTGGCATGTGTTGCCTAATGGACATGCTCAGTATATTTAGTAATATTATTGGCATGTGTTGCCTAATTTGTATGCTCAGTATATTCATCAGTACTTTGAGAGGTGTTATCACTGTGTAGTTCGTTATAGTCTGTGTTGTCAGTATCGTGCACCATGTATAATAGCTGATTTCCTGGGTAGGGAAAGGCGACACTTAACCACCTAGTGTGAGTCTAAGTAATCACCGTCTATTCTGGTTGAGGTCATGTTATACATTGGATGGTTCCCTTAGGATGTATACAGATATAGTACTCATCCGGATATAAATGATTAATTTATTTGATTCTCTGATTTGGGTCATAGTAGAGAGGACTTGCTCGTGGGGTTGACCCACCATTGTTGTTATTTCATGATACGGTCAGTACCCGTTCCAAGGTTGAGGTTAGCAGTGAGGGACCACCATCCGAACTCATCTACTCTTACGATCCAGTTCAGGGTAGAAGTTTTACGTATTACTTCAGTTTTAGTTTTTATTTACTTTTGACGTTGAACTCTCAGGTTTATATTTAGGGATCCTTGACATAGGATTTCCAAGTTGTAATGGAGTACTGTATTTAAATAAAGGATGGATGGATGTTGTATTATTTAGTGTTCCTTTCCTATCTAAATTTTTTTATTATCATCATTTTGTATTCCATGCTTGTATATTGCCAATTGTTTTTGATATCCCTCGTTTTTCGTGTATAAGCCTGATCAACTTATGCGTGGAAAATGTGGGGGTGTTACATTTACTGCCGGGTAGAGATGAAGGTTTTTGAGGCCAAAATAATGGCCTTTTGGCCTTTAAAAGAGTGAGTGGGCAGTGGGCCCCCACCACTAAACATTAAATCCATTTTTTTTTTTACATTATATGTATATATAAATTCACAAACATTACAATAATGGTGCATTAATCCATAATATAACCACATAAAGGTTTCCATATCCATAAAAAGATGCAAACAATATCTACATCTAATAATCCACATAAATATGATATAAATCATACAAACCTCCTTTACATTTAATTGAGCAAAAATAACAATTCTAAATATCATGTATTTAATTTATCTCATAAGAAATTAACATGCTTCTCAATTAATTACACTCCTTCACAATTTGATTAAATTCATTAAACCCAAATAATTGATTTAAATAATTTAACCAAACCTTATTTAATTAATTTAACCTTTTAAATTAAATTTCATACTTAGCATGAATATTTTAAATCATGCAACATAATTCTTAATGAATATATATAAATAAAATTATGTAATTTAGTAATATTTTATAACATGTAAGGACAGTTTTGTAAAAGTGCACTATAAAAGAGGCGGGATGGGGCAAGGTTACCCTCCCCGGCCCCGCCCCTTCCCCCGTTGGGGTTTCAAATACAATCTCTATCTCCTCCCCATTTGCATAAACTGATTCCCAAACTCATCACAAACAGGGCCGGGCGGGAACTCACGGGTATAAAAATTTTGCCATCCCTAGTAATATTGGTCTTGGCCTTTTTAACTGTTCAACTAAATAGCAAGTAATACTAAGTTTGAAAATAATTATTCATTAAAAAATTTTGTCCAAAAAGTGAAGGGGCATACCCCATAATTATTATTAGTAGGCATGTATAGTTAAAAAACTATAACTTGTTGAGTTGATAATCAAAAAAAATTAATGGAGACAAAAACAGATAGAACTACCTCCTAACTAAGACACAGTAAACCACTAACATCCTGCAATTAAAAAGAAATACAATCGACATACGTCCTCTTTAGAGATTTGCAATCACAATGTAGTCACTCAATAAATTTCAGTTTATCGTTTGTTTCAAATTTCAGTATAACGTTTGTTTCACCAATAAAACACAACAATTACCATGTACCACTGTGATACGCACATATAATCAATAAATTATCGCATCATATTAGCACGATTATTCAATGGATTCATTGATAGAACGCCCAACTTTTCGAGTGAATGTGCCCGTGTTCGAGGACACTGCAAATAAATTAAATTATCTATATGCTCATAGTTTTTAAAATAGACATTTATTTATTTTAAATTAATAATATAATAAAATTAAATTATTGTGTATGCTTTTTAGGCACTAACGGAAATGTTGTACATACCTCTTACCCAAAGTCACAAGGGCCTTTTTGATACTGTTTGAGGCCTAAAGCAAAATTTCTAAATTAGGCCTTCTCATATTTAAAATCTTAATATAATATTAAATTATTATTATTATTTTTTCTTCAAGGAAATATAAAAACATTATTGCATTTTTAGCTTTAGAAATAGCGATTTAATTTTTTAGGCCATTGATGTGTGAAAGAAATATAATGTTAAACAATTATTGACATGCAATAGAGACAATGATTTCATTTTGTAGACAATTGAGGTGTGAGAGAGTTCTAATATTAATTAATTAATAACATGTAATTAGTAGGCAATTGAGAGTTGAAAAAAATAATATAATATTGATTAATTATTGTCACGTAATAGAGATAGTGATTCCATTTTGTAGGTAATTTATGTATGAGACTTCAAAAGGAATATTAACGATAGAAATAAAAATTTTCAAATAATAAGAATTGTATTTATTTGATAATTAATATATTGAAGAAAATATAATTAATAGAGAAAAATTTGAGGCATCTCTTTTTCGTTGGGGGAGTAACTTGATCAATATAATGGGAATACTAATATTTATTTGATAAATAATATATTGAAAGAAATTCAATTAATACATTAAAAAAAATATGAGGCATTAGTCAGCCGGCTTAATCACTTTACAGAAGCAAGTGTAAAAAAAAAAAAAAACACTATAAAATCTATGTCATTCAAAGTGTGAGTAGGTTTAAGCCTGAGTACTCAATCTAATTTAAAATAATCCACCAAACACAAGTGTTGATTTACGGTAGGGTTAAGTTTAAAAGTAAAGAAGTTGACGATAATTTATTTGTTATTCATTATTATTATTATTATTTTTTGGTGGCAAAGTTGAATGGTCACTCTCGTACCAAACTAGGTATTAGACGCAGTCGTTGCACACAAGCCCATTCAAACACGTCACTTTATATTTTTCTAAACCGGGACCGGTATTAATACTGTATTAAGCAGCGCCCACTTACAGTGTTTAGTGTTGGACCAGAAAAGGGTTAGGAGTTTAGAGCGAGAGAGAGAAAATGGAGAGCGCCGCCGTGTTCGCAGGGCTTCAACCCAGCCCCAACAGTGTCCTGTGCCCCTCACGCAGCGTTCCAACCCTTCTCCCTGCTCTCTACGCCGACCAAAGACACTTCTGTCCTCCATCTCTCAAGGTACTACTTCTTTGCTCTCTCCTTGTACGATGAATGTGCTTCAAATGCGCCTGACAATGTGTCGAAATTTTGGCATTGCAGCTTGAAAAGAAGTCCCAATTCACTTCTTATAGCACTAGTAATAGCAATAATGTTCGTGTGGCCTCTCCTCCTAGGTGGGTATGTCTATATGTTTTCAAAGATTCTAATTCTATAGTTTATATGTTTTCAAAGATTCTAATTCTATTTTGTTATGTGGGTGGTTCTATTTTATACTAATTTTTCATGAATTTCTTCATGGGTAAGTGATTTAATGAAAAGTTTTGTCTTGAACTACAGGAGAAACTGTGTCTCAGCGATTAGATTTGTTCATTTTGATTCTAGAATGTGCTTGCCTGAAATTCATACTAATTTTTTTTTTAGGAAATTCTTTCTGGATAAGTAATTTAATGAAAAGTTTTGTCTTGATCTACAAGACAGACTGTGTCTGAGTCATTGGATTAGTTAATTTTGATTACAATTAGAGCTACAAATTTGTAGAAATTATGCTAAAATAAATCATTGGTCAATAAAGGACTTCATTTACTAATCATATACCTTGATAAATTCTAATATGAAAGATCTCCATTGTAATTTTATTTTATTTTATTTTATATTTTATTTTTTGTTTTACTATGTGGGAAATAGTTTGATCGGAACATACAATGGTTGAAAGTGTTTAGGCATGCTGATAAGTTCTGTTGAATTGGTCAACTAATTTTGTTTCCCCTAAATATTGGTCAACTGAATTTCATTTATCTAAAATGGATCTCAAGGCACATGCATAGTTCTTGTGAGGATAAGATGTAATCATGTAAACAAATATGTTATATGTTAGTCACAAATCACTATAAATTGGATAGAGGTACTGATCCTTTTTTATTCGTGGACTATTGGATAGTGATGGAATGATTGTTATTGGCGAAACCTTAGGATAGATATTCGGGAAGGCAGTGTAAGGGGGGTGGGGGATTAGGGTTGGAGCTTGTGGGTCCCAATGATTTCTGTTGCAATACCTTTTCTTTTTCCTATATATATATATATATATATATATATATATATATATATATTCATAAGCAGGTATGTTGTATTGATAAAAATGGGCAAAATTAGGGATGGCAACGGAGCGGAGTTGGGGTGGATTTAGCTAAACCCTACTCCGCCCTCTTAGAAAATTCGTCACACCAACTCTGCCCCTACTCTGGGACGGGTTTGTAATTGGTATACTATCCCCGCCCCTACTCCGGCGGACAAAGTACTGACTCCGCCTCGCATACTCCGTTTAATTACGGGGGTGGGGCGGGTTATGCCACTTTTATTATTTAGTAAAAAAAAAAAAAACTAGTCCAATGTGCTTAAATTGAGCTGATAAATAAGATGGTCCAGCTTTTAAATTACTAAGTAGTGAATATTAATATATTAATTGACACTTGCAGCAAAGTAATAAGAGTCTTAAAAATATTAAATATGTATTTTATATATATATACAGAATTTTTAAAGGTACATATATAATTAGGGCGGGACGGGTTTATCACTAAATCCGCCTCCGTCCCAAGCCCGTTTCGGGTTTTTAATGATTTTTCTATATCCGCCCCCAAACCCATGTAGGGGGCTGCCAAATCTGCCCCATTTGGGTTGGGGCGGGGCGAAAACCCGCTGGGTTGGAGGAAATTTCCATCCCTAGGCAGAATTAGTACACCAAGAACATGGAGGTATGCCCCCATTTTACAGACATCTCAATGAGGAAGAGTAGGACCATTTCCAGTACATAGAGAAAATGAACCCAAAAACAAAAACCACCCTACTGTCAATTGAAAGAAAATGCATCATGGATAGTGAGGGAAGCTGCATCTAGCATTTGGAACCAGGAAGTTCTTGCAACTTCTTGAGCAGACCTTTGGCTGCCTTGATGAAGCCTAACGTTTTTCTCACTCCAAATTGCCCAAACCACCATTGTAAAAGCCATCCTACTGAGCTTAGATCTGTGGGTGTTAGAAGCAAATTGTGTAATACACCATGCGACCAATCCTTGAAATGAGTCCAGGGAAATTCCAGTGTAGCGATGCAAACCAATGCCAGACCAGCTGAGCAAATGGACAACCAAAAAAGAGGTGTTCAATATCATCAGAATGGGAGAGACAGTTCATGCATAGATATTCCTATAGCCATTCCAAGCCTTCTTGAAAGTGAATGTTCCTCCATCCCATAGCAAAGAGTCAGCAGTCCTATGTAGCTGAATAGAAGTGATACATGTTCTCAACTGCTGCATATCAGCATCAATAAACTGCAATTGCCAAGTACCATTATGAATTATGGCATTCAAGGTGGAGTTTCTGGGGAACCGAAATTGTCGCACACCCCTGTGCCCAAACTTCTGCAAGAGAGTCTTACCCTCACACCAAGGATCGCTGAACAGACTAAAAGACTCACGTGTGGATATTTTGAACTGTACATGCTGGAGTATCACCTCTTGAACAGAGACTAGTTGCTTCCAGATGGTAGAGTGAGATATAGAAGGAACAGCCAACTAGTAGGAGAAACCTCGGATGTAATTTTGATAGAACCATGGGATCCACAATGTATCCTTTTTGTTCAGCAAGTACCACACATGAAGTGCATTGGGGATACCATAAATTTATGGCCCCCGTCCATGCCTTTATGAAATCCAATCTGTCCATTTCTTGGCACAAGCAATAAGTTGTGAATATTAGGATTTTGGGATTTATTGACAAAGATTTATTCTCAAAATCAAAGGTAATTAACAAAAGTTATTTTTAAAGAATGTGATACCATTGTAATTTTACTTATCAAAAAAAAAAAAAAGAGAATCTGATACCATTGTACTTATCAAAAAAAGAATGGGATACCATTGTGTTTTGGTGTGAATATTGGGCTTTTGGGATTTATTCTCAAGCAATAAGTTGTGAATATTGGGCTTTTGGGATTTATTGACAAAGATTTATTCTTAAAATCAAAGGTAATTAACAAAAGTCAATAGTAAAGAATGTGATACCATTGTGATCTGGTGTGTCTTTGTCCTATAACAATGGGGAATGATGCCAGAGTTTGTTTTTGTTGAGGATCAAAGAGTGGCCTTTAAGGTCAATTTGATTGAGGAAGTCACACCTCGTATCCTCCCGAAGTCTTACTATGGCGTTGGGGAGCATTCCCACATCCCGCGTGCTGCAACGATCATAAAAGGGGGTCGCCTGAATTTATAGTTTCGTCAGGGCCTCAAAGGAAACAGCTGATTGCATGCCTACGCGCCTGAAGCGAGTAGAAAGGGCAGATCCAGGAGTCGTGTCAATCATGCCCTTGACCAGCGCCCACGCGCCTGAAGCGAGTAGAAAGGGCAGATCCAAGAGTCGTGGCAATCATGCCCTTGATCAACGCCCACCGTCTCGGCTTGCCCGTTTCAAAAATCACCAACCACGTGGCAAAGATCGTGCCATTAATGGAGCCACACATGCAATAGAAACTGATGGGCTTAAGTATGGGCCTGTTGCACGTTATGGGGCTTCTTTGTCTAATGGGCTAACTCACAGCTTTCAGAAGATTAAAAGGGCCGTTAATTGGGGACCTAGCAACTAGCTTTCAATATCCATCCTGAATGAGAAGTCTAGCTCTCTTATTTTGGCAAAGCCCAACCATGAAGCTGTGAGGTTGCGTAATGGGCAACATTCGAGCAATCCAATGACCAAGGTTATGCGGGGGCCCATTTCTTTTCTTAAATCAAAGCCCAACCCACCTCACTCTCATGTCATTAGTACTTCGCAGAGCCCACGCTTAAATGGCTTCCCCTGAACTCTCTAGAATTCGCCGGAGAAGAGGAGATGGATGAATCTCTCTGTTGCTGAGGCTGGTGAAACACCTGTTGATAGGGGGTCGTCATTCTCAGTGTTGTGCTGACATTTCTTTTTCATTCTTCTCTGCTAATTCACAGTTAAAGGAAAGCACTAAACCTCCGTCTCAGGGCTCTCATTTTCTTGGAGTTCGGTGGTCAAGAAAAGAAAAGCAGAAGTGGGTTTCTGCGAACGGTTCAGGTATGTCTTCAGATTTTCGGAGCCCCTTTACTGATCCACCCTCTTCTTCTACCCTTTCCTATGAGGCGATGAGGGGTGATGCAGATGTTATGGAGAAGATGGATGGGCTGCCACTTTTGAACTCTGAACATAATGCTGGGTTAAATGGTAAGGAAGGTTGTACGCTTCTTTCTCCTGGACAGTTGGTTACCGTTGGCAGTGCAGTTAATGATCTGTCTGAAGGAGTAACGGTTTGTGTGGGAAGAGATTTGCAGTTTGTTTTTAATCAAGAGAGAAACAGAGAGAGCAAAATCGTATTCACTTTGTATATAAAAACAACTTACAAAACCTAATAAGCCTATGTAGGCTTATATATGTTACAAGGTCTACATAATAACACAAACAGCCTATTAACTAAACATAATTACATAACGACCCACTATTATATATATAACTTCTAACACTCCCCCTCAAGCTGGAGAATATATATCAAATAATCCCAGCTTGGAACAGATAGTTCTTAATCGATTATGACCCAATGCTTTGGTAAACATATCAGCTAATTGATCTTCAGACTTCATGAATGGAGTAGAGATGCTCCCACGTAATATTTTTTCTTGAATAAAGTGACAATCAACTTCAATATGTTTGGTCTTCTCATGAAACACAGGATTTGATGCAATGTGAATTGCTGCTTGATTATCACAGAACAATGGAGTAGGAGCTTCAACTGTCAATCCAAGTTCTTTTAGAAAATGTTGTATCCATGTCAACTCACTAGTGGTATGGGCCATTGCCCTATACTCAGCTTCAGCACTAGATCGAGCTACCACTGTTTGCTTTTTACTTCGCCATGTAACTAGATTTCCTCCTACAAATGTGCAGTAGCCGGTAGTAGATCTCCTATCTGAAGGAGAACCGGCCCAGTCGGCATCTGTAAAACTTTCCACCCTGAGATGACCATTTGGTTTATATTGTAACCCAAAACCTGGAGCTTGCTTGAGATATCGGAGAATCCGAAGAACAGCAATCCAGTGTGGCATTCTAGGGGCTCCCATGAACTGACTTACAACACTAACAGCATATGAAATATCAGGTCGAGTAATAGTGAGAT